GGGAAGAAACAAAAAAGACTGAGCGAAAAGAAACACAAAGGAAGAACAGGTTAACAGTAACACCAGCACATCCACACAAAAGATTCCACACTGCAGAAAAACCATATCAGCCTGTGTTGTGCCGTCACGTTGATGAAGTCCTCCAGTCATCTCTGTCGTCTAAGTGTGTTGAAGTGTGAGTGCGTGTATGTGTAAGAGCATTGATGTGCGAGTGTGTTGATGTGTAAGCGTATTCATGTCTAAGTGTGTTGAAGTGTGAGTGTGTATATGTGTAAGAGCATTGATGTGACAGTGTGTTGATGTGTACGAGTGCTGATGTACTCAGTCAGTCATTCTGTGTTGTGTGAGTGAGTTAATGTGTGAGTGTGTTGAAGTGTAAGCGTGTTCATGTCTAAGTGTGTTGAAGTGTCAGTGCGTATATGTGTAAGAGCATTGATGTGACAGTGTGTTGATGTGTACGAGTGCTGATGTAGTCAGTCAGTCATTCTGTGTTGTGTGAGTGAGTAGATGTGTGAGTGTGTTGATGTGTAAGTGTGCTCATGTGTAAGTGTATTGATGTGTAAGTGTATTGATGTGTGAGTGTGTTGATGTGTAAGTGTGTTGATGTGTGAGTGTGTTGATGTGTGAGTGTGTTGATGTAGACAGCCAATCATCTACACCTACTCTGACCCTCCCCACGTCACATTGAAGGGTTTAGCCAGCGACACTTTTACTTGGGGAATGTACAGAACCTGAAAAGACAAATGGCAAAATGGTCAAAGAAATGGAAGGGTAATTTTTCATCAAAAGTAAGATCAATGAACAAGCTTTAAAATCATACCAATAGCTCTATGTTCACAGAAACTGACAAGTGAGTGGTTGGCGGGTGCTCTGGTGTGGTTTGCTCCTTCTTTCCTATCAAACATCAGTCGTCCTTATCTCCCCTCCTTCTTTTTTGAGTATGTAACTCTCTTGTAACACATATTCTATTCTTCGGCATTTATATGACCTTATTGTGTTGCAAGTGTCGTAAAACTCTTACTAAAACTAAAACAGAAACTGACGGGCGCTGGATTCCACCCTGTTGTGGCTAAACAGATTCATGGATAAGCTAATGACAAGATGGATGGGAGAATGGCTGGATATATGGATATCAGCAGTCACTCACCATATCATAAAACCTAGATTATATATATATATAACAGTCACTCACCATGTGGAAACTATATATATATAACATTCACTCACCGTGTCATAAAACCTTTATATATATATAACAGACACTCATTGTGTCTTAAAATATATATGTATATATAACAGTCACTCAGCGTGTCATAAAACCTATACACATATAAGTCACTCACCGTGTCGTAAAACTGATAGATGACCGACTCTCCATTGACCTGGACATCAGTGGGCATGTCCTGAAGACCAAACACTGTCACATTGCTCAGGTTCATGTTGCCGTGGTAACCAATAAATTCAGGCTTCGACCACAAGGTGTTCTAAAGAGAAAAGATAAGATCAAGGATAAGAAATTTCTTTTTGGGGGGGTTTTCAGTTAGATTTTTATGGCACTTACAACACATATAGGTCATGTGAGAGTTAGAAAGTAGAGATATACTGGAGAATAGCATCCAAAGAAAAAAGGATTTCTTTTTGCTTTTTTAAAGTATGTCTTTTTTAGTAACCCGTCAACACAATTTAGATGATCATTTAGGAGGCGGGCTCCCGACTGTGCCTGTTAGGACCAGCCAGGGACTGAAAGGGATGATACAATGTCCCAGAAGAACGACTGAGTACTCAACAAAAATTTGAATCAGGGCCAACCGATGCATAGTCCAGCATGATAGCAACTACTGAGTTAATGGAGGCCCGTGCAACGCAAATAGGTCATATATATGCCAAAGATGAAAGGTGTTACTAGAGAGAACACACAAAGAAATGAATGACAAGAGATAAGGGTGATAGATGTTGGAAAGGAAAGAAGGATCAAACTGCACAAGAGCACCCACCATCAACCAACTCAAATTTTGAAACCACGACAAAAATGGTGGATTGTTATATAACTTTTCAAAGCGACCTCTTTTCCCACAATTAAAACAAAATTTAAAAATCCCTGATTCCTCACTCAGACAGACAGAGTAAAAACAAATCTCAATGAAGCCTACCTTCTGCGTCTCAAACTTGACCATGTTGTAGAGGCCTCGCTCGTAAGTATCTGAGGAAAAGAGGAAGATGAACTACAGATTAGCATGCAAACAAAGGAAGGAGGAGAGATAATGATGACAGATGTTTGTCAGACATTTCTAAAAATCCCAGTCCACTCCATAATCTTAAGAAGGTAACAATAGTCGAAAAAATATTATTTTCTCTAAAAGCGCACTTTGTCCGTTAAGTTTGATGAAATTGAGTTGCTTTCAAACATAACATCAGAGATTAATCTCTTTCCATGTATATAAGTTTTGTAATGAGAGGATACTAGCGGCCAGTAGTTCAAATATACTAAGCCCCAGATTTTTCTTTTTCCTTTTTTTTTCTTGCAGTGATTTCGGTTGCACCTGCTCAAAAAAATGTTTTGTAAAAATTCAAATTCTAAACGTAAAAAAAAAAGGGAGAAAAAATATATAATGCAGGTACAAATGTCAAAAGAATGGACAATTATTTTCTCTCTCCTGTGAAATTTTGCTGTCTGCGCTAAGTACAATGTAACGGCTTGCCACCAATATAGTGCGCTTTGCAATAGAGTCCATCAAATAAATAACTGCACTCTGTCTCTTCGACAGTCTCCTCTGGACCTACCCAAGCTTTCGCCATCATCCACGTACAGTTGACCTTTGGCCTCCCCGTCATCATCGAGGGCAACTAGCAGCCAGAATGGCAGCTCTCGACTGTGAACGAAATACAACATCCCAGCTGTAGACCTACCCAAGACTTAACAATCACTAATTGGCCAAATACATGACTTATACACAAAATCCACAAACAGAAAAAATATATGTGAGGCAGCATGGTGACATCAGGCGCTCGTCAAAATAATGAAATTGAAGAAACCGCATTTTTCTGCTAGTTTGGCCATTTTTATTGAATTACCGTTTTTTTGGCTTAACACCATTGTCGTCCAATTAAAAAACAAATTTCTTGTTGGATTTCCCTGAAAATCGAAGATGAAAGGTACAAAAAATGTAAGTTTTCAGTGTTCACGAACTATCAAGCTACGGAAATAACCAGACTTTGGTGGCCATTTTCTCACTAATTCTACCTTTGAAACCAGACAACCGACCCTTCTTCAATCTCAAATATCTTGACTTCTATTCAAGAAAGATGGGTGTTTTTTTCACTAATAGCAAGACAACTGAGCAAGCTTTACGATGATACCAATAACTCCACATGTCCAAAAATTGACGAGCGCCCGATTCCTCCGCTTGCTTCGTAACACATAATTTCAAAATATAATAGGAGCGGTGGGTGGGGTGGGAGCTGGGGAGTGGGGTATTGCACTATTGTCTCAGAATAGTGTTTTTTTGAGGAGGAAGAATTGACCTCCAGGCCCAGAACATTTGGGAGGAGGAGGAG